AAATTCTATATTTTGCTCAGTACTCCATTTCTTAAAAACATGTAATATCCATATCAGGTACATTTTCTTGCAGTAATTTATTTGCTATGAGATTCCAGAACAGGGAAACACTACATGAGCCCTGGGGACAGCATTTCCAATTTTATAATGAAGATTACTTGTATTAGAGTTGCCCAGAAAACTTTATTCTCTATTCTCCAGATAACTTTTAATTATATCAAATAGGTCTCTTGAGATGCCAATTTCTTTTAATATAGACAGTAGGGAGAACCAGCTAATACAGTCATATGCCCCTCGGACATCTAAGGAAACCAGGACTACATGTTCACTTTGTCGCCTTTCTCTGACTTATTGGATCACATTGTATAATGCTAGATCCGTAGACATATTCTTTCGAAAGACATATTGATTTGTACTGCTAATATTATTTTTCGTTAAAAAATGCTCAAGTCTTTTTGTGATGAGTTTATCTAGGATTTTCGCATGCGTCTTTAATAAGCAGATGGGTCTATGTCCACCTGTAGGTTTAGGAACAAGAATCAATTTTGAAAATATCAGCAAAAGTCGTTAAAACCACACATTTGTTTTAAAGTAATATATAAAAAGAGGTGAATTCCCCAAAAAGAATTCTAATTAAAGTAGTCCCGATTCCATCGAGTCCAGGGGCAGTGCCATCTCTGAGGCTAGAAATAACATCAAATATTTCTTCGTAAGTAAACGCCTGCTCTACCTCCTCGTTGTCTTCCATAAAAATATTTCGATAATTAGAATAATTAGAACAATAATCCAGGCTCAGGGTGTCTTTAATCAACTCATCCCAACATTCCATGGCAGGCGTGGATACACTACAATTATCTCTGTATAAAATAACTTTTTCCTTTCTTTTATTTGTGGTATATTTATAAAACTTGTCATAATAAATCTTGTTTTTATTGAACAAATAATTTTGAAAGTCTCTTTTTGTCTTTTTAATTGCTTTTTTAAATACCGCTAAAACTCTTTTGTAATTAATATTCCTTTGTAATCTTGTCTCTCCACGTTCAGACACATTATCTGAGAACTTTTTCTTGCAGCTTTTGTCTTACATCTTAAAATATCTAATTCAGGAGTCCACCAGGTTGTCCTGCGACACCTATTCTTTATTTTACCTCTTAAAAATTTATCCATGTTTATTTTAATCTTTTCTTCTAGCCTGATGATCACATAATTAAAACTGTTTTCATCTCTAATGGTCACGAGTTCATTTTCAAGTTTCATAATGTCTTATTTTCAGTTTGTTGACAAATTTTTTCGTGCTAAACGAATTGTAAGAATAAGAGAATTCGTACAAATTATTAATTTTGATAGCATTTAAATCAACATAAATAGATCTATAGTCACTCAGGGTAGATTCATCTAAAATATTCATTTCCACAGAGCTAAAATCTATACTTGATGACCCTAATACCAAATTGGTCCAACCAATTCTCACCAGGGAGGAGAAAGTTGGAGGTTGAATCATCTTTTTTGAAAAGTTTCAAATCATGAACCATAATAAAATCATATACTAAAATATCTCTTTGGTCCACCCCAATTAAAATTTTTAGAATTAAAATCACCTAATATTATAAATAAAATTTTACAATTTTAAAACCTTTTCTAAAGCTTATAAATGTGCATTCAAATTCTCCGTCGTTGAGAAATAAACCGAAATAATACCAAAGTTATTTTGACCATCAGACGTGGAAACAACCTCAATACAATCTTGTACTACGTCCACTACAAATTCAAGATGTTTCTTAGCAATAATGACAGTAGTGGTTCTACCCATTTCTGCATGCACAACTCTCCAAGTCCCCAGAGCATGCGCAATTTTATTTTGAATATAATAGGGCTCTTGTAAAGTAATAACGTCTGGTGTTTCTTTGATAATGGTGTCAATTGCAAGAGCCTACAAGTAGCGGCAGCACAGTGATTTAAATTAGAGTTTAAAATTTTCATAGATAAAAAGGGTTCAGAGATAAAAAGAACATAAATATATAAAAAGATAAAATATGGTTCACTACTTTGTCGCGAATATTTTATACTAAAATTGATATAATCAGCTAAAAAAAAATTTTATAATTAAAAATCATAAAATCACAGTTTCTAGATCAATTATAAACAAAATCTAGAATATCCGCTGTGCGTAAAAGATCAAAATGAAAGGTAAGGGAAAATTCTTTTCAATACAAAAATTCACTAGAGTGGAGAAATGTAAATCACAAATAAGGACAATGATTTAAAATGTCCCAGCCGACCAAAATAAATAAAATATAAATAAACTTTATATATCAAGATGATCCTTAATAAATCTAATTTCTTCCAAATACACAGGACATTCCTTAGAAAGAGCATCATGTTCCTCATTGTATTTAGTTCTGAAACGTCGATTGTATTCTTTGCAATTAGTACAGCGAACGAAATCAGAAGAACACTTAGAACGCAGGTGATTCTCCGCACACACTTCACAAACGGTTGTGTTTTCACAAAAGCTTCTAGTGTGCCCGAAGGCCAAGCAGTTGGTGCATCGTTTAAAACAAATATATAATTTTACAGAATAAGATTTCCAACCGATTGTTATCTCTGATCCTCGAAAATAAAATTTTGGCACTCTCCTGAAACATGAAAAACTCTATGCGATATTTCCTGTTCTGAGGATTTCATTTTAAATAATGGGCGACCACAGTTAGCACCACATGAACATTCCATTTCTAATGCTTCTATATGCACTTCGTCTGAAAGAAAATTAGAAACATTGTAAATAGTAAACATAGGTCGTATAAATTTCCTACGTTTTGGCGTTACAAGTTGATTAAGTTTTTCGTTATCAATAACCGCTTTTTCCAATTTTCTACATTCATCTCTGCTCTTCAGTCTAGCTACCATATCTCCATTTTTCCTGCAAAAAGAACCTACAACACCGAATTCAATTTTTTTTGGATTAATATAACTTTTTATTTCATCATATACATCGATATCTGCCTTGAGGGGATTTAAGATGATTTCTTTATATCTCCAGGAATCGGTATCTTTATTCTTCTTATAACTGTGCGTTTCATTTGATTTTTCTTCACGTCTTCCTCTATACATTGTCAGTTTCTCGTGATCTAATAAATCACGAATCTCACAAACTTCTTTGGCAATAAGTTCCAGTTTGTCTTCCTTACGGAGGAAGTACTTTGTCTTCCTTACCTTAACAGAAGTATAAGAATAACGTAATTAAATCTCTTTTAAAGCAAAAAATGTACAATTTATTAACATATACGAATATAAAAAGTGAGCTCACTGAGCCGGGTAAAAGTGTGGCAATTTATATAAAATATATGCGTTTGGTGTCACTAAAAAATACATTTTCATTCCATTTTAAATTCATTTTGCAATCTATTTTGGAAAAAGGAGTCCTTTATTCTGTCCGTATGAACAGATATCAGGTAAAAACGTCGTTCAAATGGATTCGAGAATGGTCAAAATGGATATTTTCATTTATATATGATATGTGAAATAATTCGCTGTTACTATACTTTCTACTTGTGGTACAAAGGCGTAAAAATCAGCGTGGTACGAATACGCTGCAGAGGCCTTCAGATAATACAGTATGGTAAAAATGAAAACGTGAATGAAACATAAATATTAAAAGAGCATTTTGCCAATATTTACCGATAGTTACCCCTACACTGAGAGCTGTAGTACAGTGCATATGCATATGAATCTAATATAGCTCTATGAAACAAATATACTGAGAACTAAAAGGGTTAACCTTCATGCGTTGAGTCAAAGTACTGATCAAGTTATGTACAGAAGAGAAATGAATCTTTGAGTTTGGGAAATAAAACTTAAATGCCAAAAATAATATTCTATATTGTGCTTACTATACATGAATATGTTGCAATTGCTTCTTGCGGTTTTTACACAATAACTCACTTTTTGGTTCTTAGAAAACTGTTACTTATTTTCTAACCAAAATGAGTGAGGCATTTGCTTCAGGTGAACGACCTAGATGCGTGCCAAATCACAAAGCTTTTAGTGGAATCTTTATATTAGGTGACGAAAAAGTGTATGATTTGTGAATAAATAAAAAACTTAAAATTTCTGGGATCATGTATTTATGAAAAATGTAATGGAAAGACAATGAAAATTTATGGTGTGGTGCGGTGTATTTAATTATGGCAAAGCACACTAGGGCTATCTGCCTAAGGGGAGGGATGCCTTCGTGGAGGACTTTCTAAGGGAAAATGGCTCGTATACACGTTACACATGGGGAAAACCACGAAAACACCCATGCAGCCAGCCCGTTCGCGGGATTCGAACCTCGGACCGAACTACCAGTGTTCAGCGACTTTACCGCTTATGAGCCAAAAACAGTAGTGTCTGAATGATACTCATTGCATGCACGCTTCAAATCAAGAACGAATGATAGCGCGTCCACATATGCTCGAAGATAGTCTTATTTGCGCTTCGATATTTGCCTTTAATTGATTTGTATCAGCTGGAATATTCTCGCAGACCTTATTTTTAAGGTAACCCAACAGAAAATAGTTCAGAGGCGATAAGTCGGGGCTCCTAGGGGCTATTTAACATTGCCTCTGATTGAAATAATCACGTTATTGGGAAGTACTTGCTGAATAGCTTCCATTGCCTGATGTGAAATGTGGCACCTACTTGTTGAAACCGAGTTTGTGAATTAAAGCCTGGAAACTAGAAGAACTTAACATACAATTTCTTTTTGGAGGAAAACTGGCACAGCCAATACCTTAATAACTTGCCAGGATAGACATAAAATTAGAAATCGAGCAAATACCCGAGAAAATGCCTCTTATTTAACCCCTTACCTTTGAATGGTAAATAAGTGAATTTGGTAGGATTAATAAAATCTGATACTATTATGCTAGTGTTTGCGTTAATTTATGCTAATTATTACTTTAAACTTCTTCATTTATTTACTAATCAAAATTTTAAATTAATTTTTATATTATTTTCAGAATTTATCATATGTTGAATGCATCATTACAATATTTGAAGCTAGGATGGAAGAATGAGCTTCAATAAATATTATTAAGAAATGCGTGAATCTGCACAATTCATGGCTGAATTTTTGTTTACTCATATATTATACTTATTGTTGTGATTATAATCTTTTTTTAATCAGTTTTTGAATTGTAGAAAGAAAGTATACCTTTGGTCCCTTCTGTTTCTTACCCGTGCGGAAATCTTGTTATTCTGGAATGATGCATCTTCGTCAGCAAAATCTAATTAGAATAAACTTTGTTTAATCAAGTAAAATAACATTGTATCCAAAGAAGCCAGCCATATTTAGTTATTTTGAAACCAGCCTGTTATTTATCGTTTTATTCTTCAGATGTAAACATGTATTTTACAATGAAAACAAATGTCATTTTCACATCATATGCAAGATTAGTGAACTGAGAAATAAATTTCTGCTCCGGAGATGATTTTAAGTATATACATTCATTGATGGATTGTGTCAGTTAAAATCAGTGTTTCTTATACGCAGGGTCTTCGAGAATGAATAGTGGGATTTTATGAGGTTTCTGTGAATAAGGTATTATTGGTAATTATTGTAAATGCATTTAAAATTAGACAGATAAGCAACTTCCGATTATCTTAGATTTTAATAAAACTCTGTTGATTTCTAGGGCACTCAGATATCGAACCCTCATCTTTAGAAGCAAAGATTATTTGCAACTGCGAAAAGAATGACAATCATTTTATACGGAAATCAATACATGGAATAAAGGCGGAAATGAACGCAGTGGCATCTGAGAAGAAAATAGTAATGAAACGTGAAATAGCTAAGCTATTAGAATTTCGAAAGCATTGAAAAAACTGGATTGCATTAATATTCTTAACTAAAGAAGGAAAACTTTTTTCTGAATATTTGTTTCAAGGAAATCCATTTTACTATCTGAAAAATAGAACCATCATCAAATTTGTAATTAAATTCTTAACTAAAATTATGTATTAATGATATTTTTATTTCTCTTTTTCGTGTTCGTAAAGATGAAATTTTAAAGCTCTGATAATTCTACCAACATGTGTCAAACTACACTGGCCTACGAATTCCGTAGGAATTAAAATCAGAAACAGCTTTTCTGTTTTATCTCTTTTTTTTCCTAATTTTATATTAATTTTTATATTATATTTTTTAATATTAAAAGCACTTTCGATCTAATCGGAAAAGAAATAAGTTAATGGAAAATTTAAATATATATGATAATTAATTTTTATATTATTTTCAGAATTTTATCATATATTGAATGCATCATTACAATATTTGAAGCCAGGATGGAATTTTAAATTTTCCACGTGCTAATTTTAAATTTTCCATTAACTTATTTCTTTTTTGATTAGATCGAAAGTGCTTTTATTCGGTCATTTAAAAAGGTTCTATGCGTACACATTACGTGTAACGTGACCTCATTGCCGATTAAGCCACGCTTTATATAAAGGGATAAATCATTATATTTTCATACGCGTAGTTCTGAAATTCCACATGTTACATGTGAATACAAGATTTTTGTCTTCGCTTTGCTTTTGCTGTTGTTGAAATCAATATCAGCTTCACTGCCCACTTGGACTTATTATGGGTCTTGTTCTCTCAAATAGAGCAGATGGAAATGAATGAAGTTGTGCGGTAGACTTTTTTCCAGCAAGACGGAGCACTGCTCCACTTTGCGCATTATGCACAAGTATACTCAATTGTCGATTTCCAGGGCTATTGGATTTGCAAATATGAATGTAACCCATGGATTACAAGAAATTCTGAACCTACTCCATTTTTTTCCTTTGCGACTGACTGAGATTTTAAGGAGAAACCTAATAATCCTTATTCCCTCAAAAAGAGAACCTAATAAGCAATTGAAAACTTAAATTAGATTTTCTCACTAGACTGTGGATCGAAGTTGAATATCGCTAAGACGTCTGTCATGCTGTTGATGGTGAACATACCGAAACTTAACTAATTTTGTCTGTGACCTTTTCGAGTGCTTGAATTGAATAAAAACATTTTCAAATCATTTCTCAGAGAACTCAAGAAATACTGAAAATTTATAAGGTGAGTATTAAAATTCCACCTTTTTGGCCAGAAAAGCCTGAAATTTGATTTTTTCAAGTAAAAGCGCGTTTGAAATTAATGGAATAACTGTGGATAGAACCAAATTTAATTACATAGTATCTGAACTAGAGACAAAATATGTTGATATTATCTGGGATATCATTACTGATAAATCATAGAATAATAAATACGCCTTAGTTAAATATTAACTTAGTTAAAGATTATTAAACACATTTCAAAGAGAGCGAAAACAAGTGTATTAAGCGCTTAGTTCCTGGTTTGACAAAAAAATGCTTGACTCGATAAAAATATATTTTCCAGTTTCAGAAGGAGGGGTATAAAAAATTTCAATAATGGCCAATAAAATAATTTAATTGAATTCAAAACCGGAAATTTATTCCGCTGGCAAGAATTTAAATTCAGTTGATGAATTAATGATAAAAATGTGTTCCTTAGAAAAACAAATAGCAACTTTAAGTGTTTCTTGCCAATCTCGGTCTCAATCGTAGTAGCGATAGGTACAAGGAGCGAAATAGAAGTAATAAACGTAAAAAACTTAATCCAAATGAGAAGTATTATGACTACTACATGGTTCACTTAAAATCTATTCTGGAAAAATGCCAACCTAATTGTTCTTGGGATCAAAAGAAGTCGGAAAACTTAAAGCAGCGGAATTAGCGACTGATTTTGCTGCAGGTTATGTTCAGAATCGCCTCAAAAACAGAACATTCCAGAGCAGACGCTTGTTTATTACCCGCTACATAAAAAGATAAATTTTAAAACGACTTAAAATTATATGCCATCAATGACACAGAAATTCCTACTTTGAAGATAAAAGTTTTAATGCTTGATCCCGGCCTTCGCCTAGCTCTTCGATGACCATTCATTATTACCAAAATTCAATAAAAGTATAATCGAAGCAGATTTTTAAACCATTTCAAACTATTAATTGATTTAAACAACAAAAGCTTAATCCATGACGTAACTAACCTTAGTTACGCCTAGATCCTAGATTAGTAACGCCTAGATCCTAGATGGATGACATTACACCAGTCTAGAACCTAGCTCCTAGATGGATGACATTACACCAGTCTAGAAAACTAATGAAGTAAATTTAATATATAATACATTAAAGTATCATGATCTATTATTCTAATATTGCAAAACCTAATCTCATAATAAAAGATGTTAAAACACAATGTTCAGCACCGCATTTTAACTGAAGACCAATCAGTGTATGCCAAACTAAGACAGCTAGACAGTAAAAAGTTACAGATTCTAGAATAAGAATTTTAGTATATGTCGGAAAATAATATAATAAGACATTCTATATCTCTATGGGCTAGACCTCTTCATGTAATCTCTGAAAAGGTTGGAAAGTTTAGTCCTTGTGAAGATTATAAAAAACTTTATGTTATAACTATTCCTGACAGATACCCTATCCCTAGTATTAATGATTTTAACCACATTTTAAAAGGCAAAAAATTATTTTCTAAAATTGATCTTTTCAAAGCATACTTCCAAGTTACTATAGCCGAAAAGGATAAACAGAAAACCGCCATAATAACGCCATTTTATCTTTATGAATTTGACGTAATGAGTTTTGTACTGCAAAATGCCCCAGTTACACAGCAAGTTTTATACATGAAGTATTTCAGTGTTTGGACTTTTCCCTACCTAGATGACATATTAATTGGGTCTTCCTCAGAAGAAGAGCGTCGACATCACCTGAAACCTGTTTTCGATATATTAAGCAAGTAAGGTTTTGAGAATCAACATTTCTAAATCGCTCTGCGATGTTGATAAATTGAAATGTTTAGGTTATCTTATAACACCAGAAGGATATTGGCCGCTACCTAAAAAAACGTCGAAGCAGTATTGAACTAAAAATTACCAGATAGTCTAAACTGTTCATCAACTGCGAACTTTCCTAGGAATGCTTAATTTTTACAGACCATTCCTGAAAGATGTTGCTAGGAGTACTTCACAAGCAGTACTTCTTGAATTCTTAAAGGACACTTTAAGACAAAAGAGAGAAGAAATATTAAATGGACCGATGAAGCTATATTAAACTTCAAAAATTGTGAACAGGATTTGGCAAATGTAACTCTTTTAAGCTATCCCAATTCAGATTTGCCTTTGTCGCTGTGTATATATGAATCTGATTGGGTTATTGGTGCAGTCCTTCAACAGTTTGAAAGTGGATCATGGAAATTTATAGCGTTTTATTAAAAAATTAAGTAACACTCAGATAAGTGCTTACGACAGTTAGTTATTAGAATATATCTTGCAATTAAACATTTTAAACACATGATAGAAAGCCGCGATTTCAAACTTTTTATTAAATAAAAACCACCAATATTTGCTTTTAGGCAAAAGAGTGAAAAGCATCGCCACGACAAATGCGACACTAGCAATATATCAATTTTCTACTAATATATGCCACATTAGCGGAAGTGAAAATATTGTTGCAGCTCGGTTATCAAGAATAGCCGATGTTTCTATTTCCCTCATTGATTTTTTTGCAGAGGGGCAAGTAAACTGTTGGATTTCAGTCCTTTTCAAAAACACTACAGTGAAGAAGAGATTACGCGAAATAACGATTTGGCTCATGAGATTAAAAATTATAGCATTCATTTCTTACAAACAGAAACTCTCACAGATTTACCATGAATGGACCAAGAGATGATTTCTCTTTTTAGAAAAGAAATCATCTTCAGAAGGAATTTAAAAAAATTAAATTCTGAAAGGTTTCCGATTTTAACAGTCGCTCAAACGATTTTAACGGTTGTTTCAAAGCTTAATATGGTTTATCAGGAAAAATTATCAATAGGTGTGGCCCAGGTAGAGTAGCGAGATCTTTTATTTTATTGGATATTAGATGAATATACATTGAGACTAACATGGGAATGTTCTATACCCTGTGTATATTTGGAAAGTGAAAAAAATACGTAACGTTAAATTCTTTAAAAATATTGACTGATTTTTAATTAAATATATCATGAATTCAAGGTATTTTTATTTAAATCAATCTGATTGAAAAATATAAAAAAATTAAATTAAGGACTCCATCTATTGCTTTTAAATACTCGTAGTTTAGTCTGTTAATTAATAAGGGACGGATTAAATATGAAAGAATAGTAACTTTCTTTTTTCCGAATGGAAGCAGACTAGAATGTAAAGTGAAACATTAAGCATTAAAGTGAAAACAAAACAAAATTGTGTTTCCAGAACTTGTAATGTTGCGCGCTTCCAACCTGCACGCAACAATAGTGGTGACTGCTGAGAACTGGAAAGTAGACAAAGTCTTGAGAAGGGTTTAAATCCCTTTTTATTCAACTTTAGAAATTACAAATGCGTGCTCTTGACGCTCACAAACTACGTCGACCCGGCGGTAAAATAAAAATAAGAAACTGAAAAGAGATAATAACAAGTGACTAACTACGAGGCTCTCTAAACGTAACTAACCTCACCGCGTTCTAAGATACCGCTGATAATTCAGCAAACTTCTGAATATTACGTTGAAAGATTAACAAACTGCCAAGGCAAGCACACAGGCCGAA